GGGCTGGAACTCACGGACCGCGACCATGGTGATCACTTTTTAAAGACTTGGCAGTAAATGGGGCTAGAATATACATATATATTTAAAGATAAGATACCATGTGACCTCACTTTAATATTCCCTGTTAAAATTCTGGACTATATAGTTTTAATCTAACCTTCACTATTGCATCTCTACCTTCTTGCATACTGAGAATCCGGGGTCTGAAGGGCTCAGGGGTGAATTAGACTGCCCTGATCTGTCCCATGTCTCATGCTTTATTACTATTACATACAACAGATTCAAAGCAAAAATACTGTTGTGAACACCATAAATCAGTTTATGATTACTGAAAATAGTTTCCACAACTTTTTTTTTTAATGTTTATTTATTTTGAGAGAGAGAAGGAGAGAAAATCCTCCAAGTAGAGGAGGGGCAGAGAGAGAGGGAGAGAGAGAATCCCAAGCAGGAGCCCCGGAAAGCTACAACTTTTTAATCTGCGCTATTTCTGTTCTCCCTCTTTAAAAATGATGTACTGATGGGGGCGCCTGGGCGGCTCAGTCGGTTAAACGTCCAGCTTTGGCCCAGGTCATCATCTCACGGTTCGCGGGTTCGAGCCCCGCATCAGGCTCTGTGCTGACAGCTCAGAGCCTGGAGCCTGCTTCGGGTTCTGTGTCTCCCTCTCTCTCTGCCCCTCCCCTGCTCACACTCTGTCTCTCAAAAATAAATAAACATTAAATTTGTTTTTAAAAAAATGATGTACTGATGTACTCTGGGGGTGCTTGGGTGGCTTAGTTGGTTGAGTGTCCTTTGGCTCAGGCCATGATCTCATGGTTGTGGGACTGAGCCCCACAAGAGGCTCTGCTGAGCATGGAACCTGCTTAAGATTCTCCCCCTCCCTCTCCCTCTCCTTCTCTCCCAGCTTGCACGAACTCCACTCTTGCTGTCTCTAAAATAAAAATAAATAAATAAAAATCAAATGAGGTGCTCTGTAATTCCAAGATCACATAGCCATTATATTTAACAGCCTCTCCTTAGTTCTGTAGGCATCCGTATTTAGTGCTCTCCATAGGTCCTTATGTTGACGTCTTTCTAGTCACTTAGACCATCTGAAGCTCCTTCCCAGGTAGATTCTAGACCTCAGTACACTAGAACCCAACCAGAGAGTGCTCGCCTCTGGACAGGCCCCACACTGAAGAGAAATTCTCAAGAATGGAATCAAAAGAAAAGGCTCATGGGAACAATATTTTCTAAGTTCTTCTACATAGATAATGGCTGGTCTGTGATCTTTACAAATTTGAAGGTGAGTTTTTCTGGATATAAAATCTTTGGTTCACAGTCTTTACTCAAGTATGTAAATATATTATTCCATTTTTTTTTTTTTTTTTTTTTTTGTCATAAAGTGTTGTTGTCAAAAGAAATCCGATAATCTAATTCTTTCTCCCTTGTAAACCATATATTCTTTTTGCCTAGATGTTCATAAGATTTTTTTTCTTAGAACATAGTAATCTATGGGGCTGGCTGGCTCAGTCAGTTAAGCAAGCATGCGATTTCAGCTCAGGTCGTAATCTCACGGTTCGTGGGTTCGAGCCCTGTGTTGGACTCTGTGCTGACAGCTCAGAGCCTGAAGCCTGCTTCGGATTCTGTGTCTCCTCCCTCTGCCCCTCCCCTGCTGATGCTCTGCTCTCTCTCAAAAATAAATAAACATTAAAAAAAAACTTTTTTAATATAATAGTAATCTTGCTAGAATATTGTTGGTTATTCTGAGTTGGCATTCCATGGTTTGTGGTATGTTTTTGGGTTTGGTTTGGCTTTGTTTTTTGAAGAGAGAGCTGGAGCATGTGCCCACGAGCTGGGGGCGGGGGGAGGTAGGGTGGTGAGAGGGG